TAAAAACTGTCTGTTTCAAATGACGTGAATTCCAAACTAGAGGTACTGTGAGTACTGAGCAGAGCTCACAAAATGATACCCCCGCCTCCCGTATGATTAAAATGATTGACAAAGTCTACTTCGAATGTTTTGAACATTATGGGGACCCGATATAAGTGTCCGATCAAAAACTAAACTAGGAGGTCACAATGGCACTATGTAATAAAGATTCTGTGCAAGTATCAATCAATTAGGAGGAGTTGCGGATAAGAAATGGACACCCCTCAATATTATAGAAAGAATGGCAGTGTTTTTTGTTTTGCTATGGGAGACCCGATATAAGTATCCGATCAAAAAGTAAAATAGGAGCTAGGTGTACAATGGCACTATGTAACAAAGATTCTGTGAAAGTATTAAATTTTATTCAATGCTATAAGAGGAATTACGGTTAATACCTCAAAGCGTAACAGACGGACGGACGTCAATAACAGCTGGACGGACACCTCCATCACTATACATCCCCCGGTTTTCAAGCGGGTGTTATAAAAAATAAATAATCGATTTACTATAGTATATATTTTTAAAATTCTTTTATTAAATATTTTTTAATAAAACTTATTTTAAACATTCTTCCAAAAGCTATATTAATTTCTAATGGACTCGAAGTAAGACTAAGGAAAGATTTGCAAGAATCTATGACATCACACAAAGGTGGAATGAAAAATGTATTTTTCAATTTTTGACTTTGAGACAATTATATCACAGCGTATAAAGGTGTATACATATTTGCCGTATTTCCCCCTGAAACATGTTGATGTTCAAAGACAAGGAAGTTTTAGTGCACAGGGATCACTATTGTTTATTGCATTAATAAAATACATGTAAATTATGTATTCAATAACTTTATCTTGGTCTAATATAATGTTAACAATGTTAAATCTATTTGAAATTGTTGCGTTGACGTTAGATTCACATTCTATATAAGGGCAGATAACTTTAACTGCGCATAGCAGAGCTCTTCAGTGCGCAGTGTTTACAGCGTCCTTAATAGAGTTGTCACTTTTTTCTCAAAGTTTTATTTTGATTTGGTATACCGCGTGGAAAAGAGGGAAATGCCAGGTGGGATTAAATTATTTACAACATCACGGATTACACAACTTTCTGTTTGTAGTCTTGTGCTGAAGGGAATTTAAGGGTGCTAAAGATGCCTACCCCTTTCTCTCTTTCGATAACGAACAGATAAATATATAATTAAAGGTATTTTAACCTGTTTGTTATTGCACTTGTTCTCGGAATCATGATTATGACAAGGATCGTTTTGCGCAATCGGTGGCTATCAGAGACCACTGTACTTATTGAATAGGAAAAAAAAGCTTAAATGAGCAAATATATGCTTGTCATTTAACAGTGGGCCGCAAATTAAATCCAAAAATCCAGTGGCACATAAACTATCTAGTAATTTAAAACTTATGAATAGTATTATATATCTATTTGACCCACAATCATTGGATTTATGAACTAATTTAAATTCAAACTCCTCAATGCATTCAAAGGGTCAATGAATTCTTAAACTTAAAAGAAAAACAGATTAGGGGGATATCAGGTTTCGTTCGGGTAGGACTAGACAAGACAATTTAAAATAGCCGCAAACTTAAGATTTGTATTATGTTAGTTTGGATACTATATCTTTATATCTTGTTTATTTAACGAATTAAGTAAATTTACTCGGATTTTGACTTTAAATTATTTGATGGATGAACCTATTTGAGACATAGCAAAACCACTAGTTAATTTCCCACGTAAAGCACCACGAATTCTAGTCCATGCTTTGTTTGTTTACTCGATAGTGATATAAATAAAAGTCAAATTGCACATAATGAAAGAATTTAAATCTAGGTAGGGCTTAAAGATAACGTGTGGTAAAAGTACCCCGGTATTTCGAAATAAAACCCTCATGAAATAAATTCAGTGTGTTACATAGGACAATACCACCCTCCCCGTCTTCACTTCCCCTAAAAAAAAAAACAAGCAAACAAACAAAAAAACCTTCAAACAAACAAAAAAACCCTTACCTGTCCGTCCTTTGTTTTCCGTGTTTTAACGTCAGTCATTTTGAGGCAGATAAGTTTTATTTCCTTAAAGGAATTTCTTTTTAAACAAGTTGACTTCCATTGTGTTTAAAAAAAAAAACAAGTAACCCACAGATATCACTACAGTGAATACACTTTAATAATGAAAAACTTCCAAACGTTAAAAATAAATCCAATTTCCACATACACCTTTGGTCGTCCACACAGTTGTAATTTATAGCCACTGACTAGCTTTAAAATCTGCCGATCTGATCAGTGCTTGCTGATCCGTGAGTGATTATTCAATAATAGGTCGGGTGAGATTTTTGACTGGGGGAGATAACTCGAGACTGGCTAATGCCCTGTGATCTTACAGTAAGGTGATTTCGGTTCGCACATACGCCCGATTTTGATCACGTGAACAGGGGATAATTTATACGTACGTGCGAATAATATTATAAAACTACAATAAACGTTTAGTTGGGTTTTTTTTAATTATAAATGCTTGTACTCTTGAGACTGCATATTCTTGGACAATCTTCATCGTTGGTTAAAATAAAATGCACTTTTTAAAAAAAAAAATATTTAAACATGTAATTCTTTATGTTCACTATTTGTAAAAATTCAGAACATTGCCAGGGGTGGGTAAAGCTTCATTTTGTTGAAGACTTTGGGCCATGAGTCCCGTTGACTAGACAAGATAATACAATAATCTACAATTTGTCTCTCTGTTGCGTGGGTTTACTATACGGAACCATCTGACACTACCCATGTAATTGCTTTACACAAAGAAATGAATGCATAATGAGTTATGGGTATTGATAAATCGCAGCCGTTGATTAAGTATTAGCTAAAATAAACACGGACTGCCGTTCATTTACAAAACCATGTGCTATTGTTTATAGCAAAAACCTTAAAGGTGAAGCATGTGGCCATTAAGACTGGAATCTAATTGATTCTGAACATTTTCTTCTGTGCAGACAGATAAATAACAGCGCTTTGTGAATGCAGGATAAACTTTTGTAATCGAATTTATTTCAGGATTGCGTTTGGGGTGTAAAACTCATTTGTTAAATGTCGGATAAGTCAAGACGAGATGACTTCAGTACCCCCTGAATTGGATCAACTGCACGCACCCTAAGTTAATATCAGGACCAGATATATTTTTAGCTAAGACTAATCATAAGGAAAGTGTAGATATGAAATATCTATGCTAATAATTTTGCCAGGTTCGATAATAGGCCATTTTTCTTTTAGCTATCCCGGATATGACGTGCATGTTAATACCGACGCTCCACATAATCATGCATTTGATTTTTAGATATTCATTATAATTTATATTCAGATGACTTATGTATTATACACATATTACATATACGTAGAACCAAGTATCTCTGCTAAATAAAACCTACTGGAATTTACATGTAAGTCGTGAAAGGTCATTTATCGCACTATTTCTGTTGTTATTAATTCCAATATTTGTGACAAAGGAGGAAATATCGACAGTATGGACGGAGCCAGCGGCACAGGGGCCCGGATATCTCCAGCACCCTTGGGGGATTTTCAATATTTATAAATTTACATAGCAAAATACAGTACTCTGGACAACCTCTTAAGACCTTTGAAAAGGATCTGAGCCCCCTCCACCCTTTACGTAACAGTGTTTTTTTTTGGGGGGGGGTGGGTTAGAAATTTTGACTTGATATAGATCCTCCCTTTTTAAAATAAACAAATAATCCCTGGATTCACCCTTAAAGATAAAAAAACAAAGGTCACTGAAAGGACGTTTCGTGCAATATGTTGGTTCCATTTTACAATTTTAGCATCAAACTTATCGGTGATTTCAAAACGATACTCGCAATATGGGTGATTTTGGTATGAATCAAAAGGTTTTGAATAGAACTACCCGATTTCAGTCAGAAAATAAAATTTAAATAGATTTCTTGCAAAAAATAGAATTTTACAGCGCAAATCAACCATATTTTAAACATGTAACGGGTTACATTTTTAAACAGGGATCGCGCATTTTTCTTGGTTAGAGTATTCAAAAATGAATCTAGAGTTCTTCTTTTTCTCACAAAACAAGAACAATCCATGTCTTTAGTGATGTCGTTAACGATTTTGCATTCAATGGTGGCAAGAAAAGAGAAATCCATAGTTTTTACGGAAAAAGAATCTGTAAAGATCCTAAAGATCAAACATTGTTGAACTCATAGAAGTTATATGTTCACCTATACACAAGACCTTCCTAGTGAACGTAACTTTTTTCTTTAACCTTCAAAAATAGATCAAAAACTTCCTATATGAAATTAATACAATTGGTTATGAAAAATTATGTTCACCAGCGTCGACCTTCCACGTGAACGTAACATTTATTATTTTTTTCACATATGACTAAAAAAGGTCAAGAAATTCCATATTAATCCAACTGGTTATGTTTCATTTGAATCCTGCATAAGTCTCCCCCTGCTTTCGGCGAGGACTTCAACAAAGGTAAACAAGAAAGATGGCAAGGTTCGCTTAAGCAGCTTGTATCCTTTAATCATTGAATTATATAAGAAAACAATTATTTTTTTTTTAAAGATAATACGATGATTAAACAATCCTCGAAGTATAATATTCATCCTTCAGACTCGCTGACTACTCCTGGTAGCTAAATAATCGTATTGACTGAAAAAGCAATAATTGTATAATTTAGCGTCACGTACTCCTATTTAACCAAAACAGAAAGGAAACGCAAAAAAGGCTTTATCGCAAAAGATTTTATGTTAAAAAGAAATGTTATTATATTAACCGGTAATATTATAATACCTGTATTCTCGACTCCTTATGACAGGATATGTTTACCACAACTATAGTAACGGGTTCATACACAGAAGAAAACTCGTGAAACACTTAAAAAAAAGAACGACTTTATTACAATGTAAACTCGTATAATATAAAACATATCATGCAGTATTATGAATAAATGTTAATATCTATAGCCTCGACTCCGTATGGACCGACATAAACATACCCCGAATATGACTCCAAAAAGCTGCAAAAGAGAAATAAAAACAAGAATTACTGAGGTCAAGTCCGTAATTAGACTCTCAGATTGATCAGAGATAACTTCTGGTAATAGTGTGGAGTTACCATGACAACAATGGCGGCTATTGCAATTCCACCAATCATAAGGGCGTGGCCTTGAATGTAGTGAA